AAAAAAAACTATTTTTCTTTGTACACTTCTTCACCTGCTTGTGGCCAACCACTGAGTTGTTTTGCCACAACTCGAGCAAACCAGATTCATACCCAGCGAGGAGCAGGTCATCATTTTGACAGAAGCACAGAGCTGTGACCGAGCCTTTCAGGTTTGGAGGACTTGCTGTGGAAAAAAGAAGAAACACAGTTTTCATAACAAAATGTGTATAAGGACCCTTAATAACACTGTAATTACTTTAAAGATAAGGCTACATAGGGCACCAGTTTAGCTCCCAGCACGTGTTCAGTAGTACCGGTACTTATTTTATTTTTAGATTTAAAAAATCTTCTTTGATCAATTCAACACTGGGAGATATGAGTATCAATTAGAATTTCTTCAATCTTTTTCACCATCATTCATTTATGTTTTAAAAGGTACAATAAGTTTTTTTGAGGCTTTTTGTTAAATATAAAAAAAGAATATTGTACTCATAAAGACACATTGATTTGTTGACATTGACAATTGCATCTGAAACCAAAATGATGCACTCTCGTAAACTTTAAATGCAGTCATTATAAGTACATAGATTTGTGTGCTGGATTGTGGGCACACCATTTTGAACACAATGACTGAGATGGACATCGCAGCTAATTGGTTCAAGATTTCCTGAAATGAAGTCTGGGCTCTAACACAAGAAGACGTGCATAAACATAAAAAGGGTTTTTCTTGAAAGGAAATGAAAATTATAAGGAGTTTTAAAGACATTTTAAGTAGCTAATTTTGCACAATATTGGTGAGAAATTTAATGGGAACATGGAAAGATAATTAAAGACATTAATATTTAACATAATACCTCTCTCTTTTTGCATCTCTCTATATAACGTCCTCCTTATCAGTGCACAAAAGGGGAGCATTTTAAACATCATTACTCATAAGCACTTACAGCTGCAAAAGGCCACATAATAATGCGTCGTTAACCAATTTTCAAATGTTCATTACCTAATTGCAGATGATAAATATTGACTTTTTAATACAGTAAAAATAAATAAATAACGAGAGTTAAATCCATTTTCAAATTTGAGATGTTTCTACTGGCTTACTGTGCCAATTTATGGAACATAAGCTGGAGCCAAACAGCTGGTACTAAAATAAGAAAAATGAGAGATTTGTAGCTCCCTAAAAGTTGATTGTATTCATCTGGACGTAGCGTTTTCAGTGAGAGAAACGTTTCGTCACTCATCCAAGTGACTTCTTCAGTCTCAGCTGACTGCAGGTTTCCCAAATCTTATACACAGTACATTTGCACAGTGACTGAAACTAGCACCACTGAAGGAACAATGGGTTGGGAGATTGGTTCCTTGATCATGCAAATTGTCATGACGATTGATCAACAACCACTGATCAAAGACCACTGATCAATAGCCATGAGTACCATTCACAGAGAGTTGGGGTTTAAAAGCCACAGAGACACTGTGTTTAACTGTTCCAATACTCCTGACACATACGGGATCACTACGGGTTTTTGCTGAGCTTTCCCAGCAGCCTTCCCAGCAGATTTGTAGACACTTGTGAGTTGATAATTATGATTTGTATCATTTATATAAATGATAAAAAAATAAAAGTCTCAATTTAAACCAATTTTTTTTTTTTACCTCTTGCCCATGTCCAGCATCGCAGCGAGCGGTCTTCAGAAACAGTGAAGAATTGTGGGACCCTTTCCTTGCAAACGACTCCATGAATCGCACCGCTGTGACCGCGAAAGGTGCTAAAGTGCTCCACCTGGAAATAAACCGACATATCTAGTCAGTGAGAAAATACATCTGAAGAAGCAGCAGGGCACTTTAAAAATTCAGAGGATTTTTTTTTTATTATTTGTTTGAGAGACCTGTAAGGGTTTCCAAAATTTCACTGTGCCATCATCAGACGCTGTGAAAACGGACATTTCTTCTGACTTCACTTCCTTCCCTTTGTCTTAAAAACAAAGAGTGGGCTTAGAAATATCAAATATTAATTTCAGAATATGCAGTATTAACTCAATACAGCGTACTGAATGATGGAAAGAGGAGGAGACTATGTGTGTAATCACTTCCCAGCATGTTTTCTCAGGAATGGTACCTGTATTTGGGAGGAGAGAGCAGTGGTGTATGCGTCTCATGTGAGCAGAAATATGGCAGATTTCAGTGTTTGTTTCCCACTTCCAGACATGCAGTGCCCCCTCTGCACAGCTGGCTATCACATATTGTCCCTGCCCACAGAAAACACGACAGAGCAGGTCAACAAAGAAAATAATTTATCAAACCAAAGAAAAAGACAATTTCGTGCTATAGTTAAACAGTTCTTTACATTGTACACAATATAGAGAGCTTATTTACTTAAAGCTGCATAAGTGACTCACCAGACAGCAGACAGAGGTAAGTGGACTTGTCCAGGAGATTTCCCTCAGACACTGCCCAGCCTGAAGGTCCCACAAACAAAGTCTGCCGTCATTTGAAGAGCTTAACTGGAACAAAAACAAAAAACACATTTTTGAAAGCACTTGTATGTTACTTAGATGTAATTATCAGATATGCGTGTCTGTGCATTGCTCCCAAGCTTGCTAGCCCTAGCCTTAGCTCATAAATTAACACTCCATCTTCTTAGCCAAATGTGGACACTTTAGGCTCAAAAAACAACAACAAAAAAAAAAGGAAAAACAGTTTACAAACAAACAAACAAACAAACACACACACACAGACCCCACCCACCCAAAAAACAACAACAAAAACAACCCAAACATGTACAGCAACCCTCTTTGATACACTGTTTATTAACTAAATGAGCCAAATTTTTCCACAAAACCTTTCTACAATATAGCTGTACAGCAATTCTTGACTAAGTTTCTTTATTTTTTATTTTTAAATTGAAAGACTTGACCATAAACAGTTTAACTATCATGAATACAGTACATACGACTAAAGAATTTTTACATGAAATCTTGTGATGCCACCTGTTGCCTTTCCTTAGTTGCCCTGTTGAATTTGATCTTGTTGTACTGTGAGGTAACAGTGCAATATGGAGTCAGGTGTGAGACATTTTAGCACCAATGACACTAAACAGGGGAGAAAATTTTCAAAGCACCACTCATAACCCCGACAAGGATCAGGCCACTATTTGTATTTTTCTTTCCACTTTCCTACAATAACTGTGATTGTAGTAAAGGACAAAGGACGCTTGTTTGGTTGGTCTCGACATGCCTCCATCCCCATTTTAATATAACATCACAGCTTTGTATATATAATTATTTTGATCTCTTGGCTGTGGACCATAGATCCCACTTTCAGAACCACTGCTTTATGACACAAACAAAATATGAAAAGAAAAAAGAAAAGAAAAAGAAGACCAACCACGCAGTCTGGAGTCCAAACGCAGCCTGTGACCCAGTCTCGGTGAGCATGAGGCAGAGTCTTAGAACGAACAGCAGGAGCAGTCACATCCCACACCATCAGAGCCTGAAACAATCAAATGTTTATGATAACAGATGAAGAGGAAACCAATGTAGCTCTCTCCAGAGGTAGAATATAACAAGTGCATTTAATCAGCTACTGTTAGTGTTTATGTTTTATGTGCTTTATTTTTCTGCATCCCACACTGAAACACTACACTTTTAATTACACTACATGAGTTTTAGTTCCCAATTGCCAGTCTTGGTAGCCGGGGATCAGTCCGCCAGGGCCTCCGCTCCTGGCTGTTACCCAGCACACAATGCACCCGACCCCTACGGCACCACCTGCGGGTGGTGGGCCTGCGGGA